CAGTAGCAGATTAATGACTTACAAAAGGTAGGAGATTGAAGTTGAGAACAAAATCTGATCACATATTTCCAGATACCTTTATTTCAAGGTAACTGTTCCAGCCAATCTTGAACTTGACTATCTGCATACTTACTACCCGTCAGGTTGTCCACAGCACTGGGTCCAAGGCAGGTAATACAGTGTGATAACAATCAGCACTGCACTATCTGCTTGACATTTGCAAAAGCCACATCTTAAACCTCCCCAGGCTTATCCCTCCTGTTGCAACAGGTCGCAACCAGCCTGATCACTCGGATCTTCTGCTACCCACTTATGGATATCCATCACATCTCAGAATTTCTAATGCTCACAAAACTTCTTTGTGAATACATGATGCTAAGCAACGAAGTTCAGAACTCTTTACGTATCTTCCAGCTGACCAAGATAAATCTTGAACTTTAACCAGACTGGGAGTATATTCTGCCATACTAACAGGCTCAATTTTAGAAAATAAGAGTTTTATACAGATTACACTTTTACCAAAGCAAATACTGGAAATTGAATACATCTAGCAGCAGTGAAGAAAACAGAAGTTAACAGTTCAGGTTAACACAAGATCACAGACCTGAAACATGAACTGTTTCTCTCCCCACAAATTCTATTTTTACAGTTATGAACTTGCACTGGGTTCCTGCTAGAACAAGCTGTATGGTAATCTACTAAAACAGAGTTTATAACTTATCCAGCTCTGCCCTTTGTACAAGTTCACAAGTTGGCAGCTCTTTGCCCTATTGGAATTTGCAAAATTTTTCAGTAACCCACCTTTTTCTCATTGTGGAGTCTGGCAGTGGAAAAAACCTACAAGCATTCAATTTGAAAAAAATTGTTTTTATTAATGCATTCAAAGCATATGGGCATTACTGGCTGGGACAGCATTTATTGCTCTTCCCAGTTGCCCTCAAGAAGGTGGTCAGCTGCAGTTCATTTGGTGTGGGGACACCATAAACGCTGTTCAGGATGGAGTTCTAGGATCTTGATAGTTGGGCCAAGACATTATCCTGAGGGACTCCTGCAGAGATATCCCTAGAATTGAGATGAATGGCCTCCAACAACCCCAAAAATCTTGCTTTCTACTAGGTTTGACTCCAATCAGTGGGAGGTTTTTCCTCCCCGATTCTCATCAACTCCCACATTGCAAGAGCACTTTGCTGATTCCTTTATTCAAATGTGGCCTTGATGTCAAAAGCAGTCACTCTCGCCCCAGCTCTGGAGTTCAGCTCTTTTGTCTACATTTGAACTGAGGCTGTAACGAGGTCAGGAGATGAGTGGCCCTGGCAGCAAACAACGAGCATCAGTGAGGAAGGTTATTGCTAAGGAAGTGCTGCTTAATAGCACTCATGAAGACTTCATCCATCGTTTAACTGATTATTGAGAGCAGATTGATGACAGTAATTGGCTGGGTTGAATGTCTCCTGCTATTTGTGTACAGGGTATAGCTGGCAATTTTTCATATTACTGTAGACAGGACCAATAAAATTCTGAAATGAAACAGGAGTAACATTTGCATGATTTTTAGGCAGAACGTAAGTATAGACATTGTAATCTTATCAGACCATAGTGCTGCTCTCTCATAAACAGAGAGATTACTGATGGTAGTTTAACCGGAGGGTCACTGCACCTCAAGCGAAGGGAAGACAGTGACAAGGAGAATCCTTCAGGTAACCTCAGCTGGTGTGGAAATTGAACCCATGCTATTGGTATACCTCTGCATCCCAAACCAGCCAACTGAGCTAAACCAACCCCCAGCAGGACTAGCCTAGAGCACGCAGAATAATAAAAGGCTGTTTCTTATAAATTTTCCTGCCTGTAAATTGCTGTGACAATATGCCATGCCTGTCTTTACTGCACCATTCTTATACCTCAACTCCTTGACATCTGTCATCCAGCTGACCTAGGTCTATTTCTCTTTCAATAGCCCTCACTTCACCTGCTTGAGCTTTTTGTAGCCTTTCAGCTTTGATCAAATAACCAAAATGAATTTTTCTTTTCTAGATGTTATTTAAGAGTTGTTTTTGCTCTTGCAGTATCAAGTACCTTTTCTTTTATCTGATTTTTTTCTACGTGATTTTAATATACATATTAACATTCACATTACAAAGGCCTCTATTTTCTTTCACAGATTCTTGCTGTTTCAGGTTTCTGAGCTACACAGAAAAGTGGACAAAGTGTATCATCTTAGCAGTTCTTTTTTTGTTACACAATTGAGTTTTGATTGCACATCGTCCATTTTCAGAAAAATGACTTCTGCGCATCTCTATCCTTCTTCAAATAGATCTGCTATTTTGCGCTATCATTTGTTTTAAAAGATAAACCTATTAATTTGTTCCAGAATGGGACCAATACTTCAATCTAATTTCTTCAAATCGATTGCTTTTAGCTATCTTTGCTTTTGATTTTTTGGTGTTGTACTCAATCCATATTCTAAACTTCTAAATTTTACTGAATCTACAAGGTTTTGTAGGGCTTATTCTAATTCTGCAGCTTTGTCAGTGTGTTGCAAGTATGTTAGCAGGCTACAGGTAATGAATTAATCCCAGGAAGCAGCCTTATCAGAAGATGAAACGCTTCAATTTCTCCTCTAATTAGAAAAACCTAATAATCATCAATTGCACTGTAGGAAAGTTTAATTCTTCCACTCTGAACAGCACTGTGGATTACCATGCCGTACTACAATATTTCACGACTAATTTCTGAAGAGCTGTAAACACTGGCCTCATAAGTCACGTCCGCACCTCGAAACAAATTTCCTTTTTAAAATCCTTCTCTGTTCCCATTCAACAAGCACCATCATTAATTGGTCTGAACGTACAAACTGATAACCTATATCTCTAACAATGTTCAAGTCCCTGAACTCAAAAGTTGAAGAATCTGAGGAATAGTAAAGTGCTTAAACAGGTCTATTTTGGACAATGTGGCCAGTTATCTGGTCTACAAAAAGCTGCATTGACGAACTTGTACTCAATTGATCTCTCTCTTTCATCAGCAAAATGATTAAAGGCATCACTGCCATTGTTTTCAAGCAGCACTTATTCAGTAATAACCTGTTTAATGGTACTCTACTCCAGATCTCATTAAAGCCTTGGTCCAAAGAGCAGCCCAAAGTGCAAAATAGCCATGGAAAAGATCCGAATGCCAAAGAGAGGAGAAGAGAAAGTGGCATCAATATAGCACTTGATTGAGTGCTATATCAAACAGGTGTGGTAAAGCTGAAGTCAATAGGAATCAAGAGCAAACTCTCCATAAAGGTAGATGGTGTGGTTGAACATTGAAATAAATCAATTTGGCCTATAATATTGTTGCTGGGCTATCTCAAGGCACTTCCCTTGGCCCAACCATCTTCAGCTGCTAGGCAAATGGCTTTTCCAATATGTAGAATTCTAAACACTGTGCCATCACATTCAACAGGCATTATCATTGCTGAATTCCACCTGCCCTGAGGGTTACCTCCAACCAGAAGCTTAACTACACCAAGGAGAATAGTTGACTAGGTGACCATTTTACTGAGCATCTTCGCCTAGTCCATAACGGCCAACCCAATCTCCCGGTCATCGTCCATTTCAACTACTGTCCCCACCACTCCCACTCTGACATGTCCATCCTAGGCCTCCTCCAGTGTCGCAGTGATTCAGAATGCAAATTTCAGGAACATCTCATCTTCCACCTGGGCACCCTATAGCCCGGACCACCAACATCGAGCTCTCTAATTTCAAGTAATATTCCCACCAATCCCCCGGCTCCCTTTTCAGCCCCACCTCCTACCTTTGATTCCACCTACTGACCCTCCCTTCCAGTTACCAACTGGATTCATTCCTCCCATTCAGCAACCAGGTTGTACCTACTACTAGTGTCCACCTATCACCACCATTCTGCTGCCCTCCCACTCCATCTTTATCCGCAGCTCCCCCTACCCCACATCCAGTTCTGAAGAAGGGTAATACCGAAACATTGACTTCTCCTTCCCTCCAGATGCTGCCTGGCTCGGCGTGTTCTTCCAGCCTCCTGTTCATCGACCTTGGATTCCAGCATCTGCAGGTTTTTATCTCTAGAATGGTTATAAGAGCAGGCCAGAGGCTGGGAACTCTGAAGAAATTAACTAATCTCCTAATTCGCCAAAAGTCTCTCCAAAGGCACGAGTCATGAATGTAATGGAATAACCTCAAATTGCCTGAATGGATGGACCGACAACAGTCAAGAAGCTTGGAACCCTAAAGATTGAAGCAACGTACTTCATTGGCACCCCATCCACCGGCTTAAACATTTACTCCCTCCAGTGCTGACACACCATGATTACATGCACTTACATGAGAAATTGTAGTCAACTCACCAAGGCTTTCAAGCCCGCAACTTCTGCCAGCTTGAAGGATGGAGGTAGCAGGCGCATGGAAATATCAGCACCTGCAATTCCCTTCCCAAAGCGCATGCCACTTCGACTCGGGCACATAGTTGTGTTACTTCACTGTCGCCTGTTCAAAGCCAGGAACATCCTACTTAAATAGCTTTGATACTGTACCTATACCACACTGACTGTAGCAGATCAAGGCAGCTTATCAACTTTTGAAAGGCAATAAGTATTGTCCTTGCCAGTAAGCCAGTGAATGAACAAAAATATGTTTATAAAACGTTTCCATTGTCTACACCTGACTCTGACATGAAGTATTTGTGTGAATAAATTCAACCAACTATGTTCTCTTCAATGCATGTTCACATAGTTGGCTACAAATAAATGAAAACAAGTTAAATTTTGCAGAGCATCTAAGTTTAATTTCTGTGTGTAATGTTGAATAGATTTCAATGCATATGGTCCAACTACAAAATTTCTTTAGAACATAACAAATAAAAACAAAAATGTTGCGCTTTCTTTTCCATTTACCTTTACCAGTAAAACACTTAATTTTACACCTTTAGTGGTTTTAAAACTGATAGTCTGTTACCTTCTATTGTAGTGATATGAGCAGACTTACCTTTGGAGAACAGCTGAAGTGCATGCCAGGCACTGGAAGTGTTGTTACATACATTGTAATGCATCTGTACAGATAAAGCGTGCCAACTATGAAGAAGAATCTCCTGCCCACAATAGATCTAATCGGTAGGGGAAGAGAAAAGAGAGAGAGAGAGAAAGAAAGAGAGAGAGAGGGAGAGAAAGAAAGAGAGGGAGAAGAAAAAGAGATGTCAACATTTCAAACTAATATACTATAGTTACTATTAAATATGGCAGTATTGTTTAAATTTTCAAGGCACTCCAAACATTAAAAAAGGTTTTATGATGTTCCCATCCAAGGCTGATGTTTAAAAAACATTAAGAAAATACATTTTCCCTGAAGAGAGAAACCTACCATAGGATACAGCTCCACAGATATGCACTGACTACTTCTGCAAGGCATTACAACCAACTTGAACCTGTTGTTAGCATTCTGTGGGTAGACTTGCAAAGCATAATTTGACAATGATCACAAATAGGATCTCTAAGTGAATTTCCCTTAACCTGACAAAGGCAGCTTTTTGATACAGCTCTAACTCAAAAGCAATTAATTCAGCACAAATGAAGAATCAAAACCGGAGACTTCCTGCTGAATACAGCTCACCATGAAGGAATGCATTCATTCACTGAGATGTCAAAAAAAAAAAATCCTTATTTTGCCCATTTTAAAATCGCATAGAAAATTCAAAGAAAGAAAATTGAAATCCTGAATAGGATATTAGGCTGTGTACAATGTCTTTTCTCATTCCTGCCATAAAAAGCAATTTTTGAACATTTATTCAGAACTCCCCTCTCTCTCCGAGCCAGCAGGATTTGCTTACAAAAAGATAATTCGGAAAGCTACTTTTCTGCTTACAATCAGATCATAAGCAAATACTACTGGATCACTATTTTGTGTGCGCAATCTACAAATGGAAGGAGAAAAATATTCTATAAATATTCTACAAGTAAGACTTACTTCCAAGTATAAGAGTTCAGAATTGACTCTTTCATCAATTCTTAACTGAAGTGAGGTGCAAACAGCCCCAAGTGAAACTTGGGATAGGAACTGAAATTCTTCTAACCTTATCTGGAAGGTCAGCTCAAACAAACAATCTATGCATTAGAATCTAATATTCATCTTCAAAAACCATAAGATATAGGAACTTGAGTAGGCCATTCGGCCCCTTTAACCTGCTCCGATATTCAATAAGATCAGGTCTAATCTGACATTTCTCACATCCACTTTCCTGCCCTTTCCCTATAACCCTTGATTCCCCGACTGATCAAGAATCTAGCTCAGCCTTAAACATACAAAAGGACTCTGCCCCCACAGTTTGTGTTCCATAGGGTCTCAAGCCCAAGAAATTTCTCATCTCAGACTTGAGTTGGCATCCCTTTGTTCTGAGACTAGTCTCTCTAATCCTAGGCTCTCCCATGAGGGGGAGCATCCTGTCAGAATTGACCATATCAAGCCCCCTTAAGAATCCTATAGGTTTCAATCAGATCAGCCCTCACATTCCATTAGCCTTCCTGATTACCTGCTTCATCGATGTCCTAGCCTTCTGTGCTTTGTGCACAAAGGCCTGTGTTTTGCAGCTTTCTGCAGTCTTCATCCTTTTAAATAATATTCTGTTAATTTAATAACGTCACATTTTCCCACATTATTTGCAAACTTTTTGCTCACCTAAGTCCAATATCTCTCTAAATTATTTATATCCCTCGCACAACGTGCCTTTCCATCTATTTTTGTGTTGTCTGCAAATTTGGTTACAGTGCATTCACATCCTTCCTCAAAGTCTTCAATATATATTGTAAACAGTTGTGGTCACAGCACTGATCCCTGTGGAATCCCACTTCCCAACCTGAAATTGAACCCCTTACCCCCAGCGCTTCCTGCCTATGAGCCAATTCACTACCATGCCAATAAACTACCTCCAACACCAGAGGATTTTATTGTATGATTTGACCTTTTGTAAGGTACCTTGTTGAATGCCTTCTGGAAGTCCAAATGCATCACATTGGTTTCCCTCTATCCACCCCGGTTGAAGCCTCCGTGAAAACACTATTAAATTAGTCAGACATGATTTTCCTTTCACGAATCCAGACGGTGTCTGCATGATTAGATTATGATTTTCCAAATTTTCTATTATTACTTCCTTAATAATTGATTCCAGCACTTTTCCAAAAATACATGAGGCAAATCAACCTACAGTTACATGGTTTTTGCCTCCCTCTCTTTTTGAAGGGGCATGTCACATTAGCAGTTTCCAATCCTCTGGTACTTCTCCAGAATCCAATGGATTTTGGAAAATTACAACCAATGCACCCACTATCTCTGCCGTTACCTCTTTTAAAATCCTAGGATGCAAGCACCAGGGCCAGGGGTCTTGTTGGTCTTTAGCCCCATTTGTTTAAATCCAACTTTAGTGATGGTACTTAATTCCTTCCCTGTATTCTTTAGTACTAATGGAGTGTTCTACTACAAAGACTGATGCAACATATGTTTAACTCCTCTGAATTTCCTTGTTCTCCAAAACGGTCTTCCCAGATTCATTTGCTAAGGGGCCTATGTTCACTTTGGCATCTCCTTTTATCTATTTAAAGCTCTTATCAATTTTTACATTGTTTGCTGGTTTGCCCTTGTAATTTTTTTTTTTTTTTTTAGTCCTCCTTTGCTCGATTCTGAATTTACCCCAGTTTTAATGACCATCACTGACTTTGGCTTCCTTATATACTTTTCAACATACTACTCTCCTTAACTTCCACAGTTAGCCATGGTTGGTCAAAGTGGTTCATTCTACAGTCTCAGTAAAGGTTGGTACTAGAACTCCTCATACTTAAGTTTATTTATTCATATGCTTTTAGGACATTTCATAATCAAAAATTCATCCAGCTTTATTAGAATCAAAACAGTGCCAATTGACTTCCATCTTATTCCATACTATCTATTTTGTTGTGACCATAAATTTTATACTCTCCTGTCCTGAAATGAAATGATAATGCTGAAGTAAAAGTTCTAGTCTTAGAATGGCCCACACTGTAACTGCAACATTAGACTCAAATTGCCATAAATGAGAACGAGTATATAAAACTCATGGCTAGCATCACCCAGGCTCAATCTTGTCAACTAGATGAAAACTTTGAGCATGCCTATATACATATGGCTGGTAATTTCTGAAAATGATTGCTTTCTCTCACCAATATTCAACTTTACAAAGCAGTTAGGAGTGCCGATCACTGCACTGTTGTTATGTTGCATTAAGCCAAAATATAGAGGATCGTTTACGGAAAAGAAGTTCAGCAGTCAAATTGAAATATGACAATATTACAATTACTTATAAAACATAACATTCCAAATTAAATTTGGTTTATTCATTGCTTATACATTTTAATTCTCATTATTATTCCCTCCAATGAGAGTAAATTCAATTGGCTTAATCCATTTAGCACAAGCAATCTGGTTTTTGTTTTGAAAGCAGCAACCTCAAATTCCAGTTTTTCCAATGTTACAGAATAATGATTCTTTGTCTTAAATGATACAACCCCAATGTAATATTTGATTGTCTGACTTGCTGTGTTATGGAAAAATAACTACAAGCTAAAATACACAAGAACTGATCTAGTCTTAGTAATTCACTTATTTGGAGTAAAAGTTACATCAGACGTCAAAAAGAAAAACCAAGGTATTGCTAATTTTACTTACTTGTATTTCATTAGCACCCACTGAACCAGCCATAATCCTACAAGTATCATGCCATTAATTTCACAGATGGAGAAGGCCCATTCCACTCTGTTAAAATAGTCAAAAAATTTGTCCGGTAGAGGAGGCTGCTCCTCCTTGGGAGGCACACGTTCATGGACAACCGAGATCATCACTGTGGTAAGTAGAAAACAGGAAAGTGCATAAAGGAAAGCCACACCAGTCTTCCACCATTCCAGAGAGAATCGAAGTTGCTCCAGTTCTGGCATGGGGATTTGAATCATTTCTTTTCGGTAACCATTTGCCAAACCAGTTCTTTTGGTTTTATTGTGGATGTCATTCTCACTGCCAGCATTTACAGAACCCATGTTAAGATGGCCATTGGCGTGACCATTCTTGTGCACTTCAATGTGATGCTCCATCTTCAATGTTTCTATCTTTTCCAGCAGTTGCTGGCCATTGTCTGATGCAACGAGAGACAGAGGCGGTCTTTGGAAATCTTCTTGAGACAGTTTTAATAGGCCTTGGCCGTCCAGCTTATTCTGAAATGCATCAGTGTACTCCTGCATGCCATGTTCGGTGAGCCAGGCTAGCACATCTTTGGGTGACCATTCTACCACCTCCATCGTCATAATAAACAATCAAATGTCAAATGAACTAAAAGTGGGCACTAGTTGGCAGCAGCATCTTCATAACTTATTTTACCCTTCCCAAGTGGAAAAAAAAGTTCTCTCCATGGCTTATTCATTTTGTCTTGAGAACATTAACAAAATTTGATTTTCAAGAATCCAGTTTGGCACATGAAGCGTATCTGTTGATTTGGTTTTTCTCTCAGCTAGTACGTTATGGCAACCTCATTGCTGGTATGTTTCATGTGCAATAAATTTCCATCATGAGGTGTGAACCTAGTGGGCAAGATGGGGTGAAGGGGAATGGAGAAACAACAAGGAAAAAAAATTAGAAGTGCAGAAGCATATAACCTTTCCATAAAAAGGCAAAAATAAGCAGAACATTAGCACCAAAGGTGAAGTCAAAAGGCTAATTTGAAATCTCATGCTTAAATTTAAATTGATGCCATGATGCACGGCTACTGAACATTAAGATTTTCCAGCAAAGGTAAACCAAAAACTATGCTAGATTTCTGAAAGGGAACTCAGCAGTACAGAATACCTCAGCAAATGTACACACTCCAGATTAAATTGTGCCAAGTTTAATTGAATTTGCGTGAGGAAACAAAGATGACTAGGAATGATCAAGTGCTAACAGCAAACTGGAAAATCTTCCCACAACTACATTTTTAATCACATGGTATGGGGATGGAGGGATAACAAGATGGCAAGGCGACAGCAAAGTGGCAAGTGGGAACAAGAGGGAATAAATGAGAGGAAGAGGAAGAAGGAGAAGGAAGAGAGAAGGAGGATCGAGTGAGGGAAGGAAAAGCAAGAACATTTAGAAACTCCTTTTGCACCAGGAAGAGAGAAGCGTCGATAACCAGAGGGCTTCAGCTTAGAGGGAGAGAGGGGTACTGAAAGGGAGAAGGATTGCACATGAACCCACACAGCACATCAGGCGAGTTTATAAACAGTGAGGGAACCCTGTTAGCACCAGAACAGCCAAGTCCACTTTCAGAAAGAAGAAACACAGTGAAGCAGTTAAATGATTATTTGGAGGGCATTTTCTCAAATAAAAATAAAGGATCTACAATCAAGTACAATGTTAACTAAAATTGGAATATAAACAAACAGGTTTGGGGGCTGTTGTAGCGTCACTACCACGGTGCTATCTCTGACAGCTTCAGGTTCCACCTGACCCAGAGGTGTGGTCAAAATATGTCCAAACTGATTAAAATAATATAAACACAAATACAACTAGAGGCATTAATTAAAATTAGCTCAGAATTATAATTAATTTAAATGCAATAGGGATGGTTGGGCAGGTGATATGCTGCAGCAATATTATAGGCGTGCTAGTGGACACCAGAGAAGGTGGAAGTGGAGGAAGCCTCAAATCATTGCAGTTGTCCACTAGGTTGACTGCTTGATTGATTTATTGCCTCATGTAAACAAAGCTTTTCCCTGTACTACGGTACAAGCAGTACAGGCAGATCATAGTAAGGATGTATAGATCAAAAGGACTTAGACAGAGGCATACAGGTTACATTGCACAGGGCATGCGCTAGGCAAAATCAACATTAGCAACATGAGCATTATTTGAGGCTAGACAGTCCATTCAGCAGTCTGATAACGACCAGGAAGAAGTTGTTCCTGAACCTGCTTGTGCGTGCATTCAGGCTTCTGTATCTTCTGCCTGACAGAAGAGACTGTAGGAGATTACTGGGGTGCGATGGGTCTTTGATAATGTTGGCAGCCTTTCCGCAGCATGAACAAGCAGGAGCTGCAACATGGATCAAAGACACATTTGCTTGTAAGGATTAAACAGGAATATAGTGGTGGGCAAGGAAGAGCATACATAGGGGAAAAGACACAGGCTTGTGCCATCTAGCTGGTCCCAAGGTTTGGAACCTCGTGGGCTACAACAACTGGATCCAGACAGGACAGGACAGGACAGGACTGAACTAGGAGAGAGGCTCTATTTGAGGATTACGACTAGCTAAATGCCCAATGAAAAAGCAGATCTACAAAAGGTAATAATCAACCTCTGGATGACAACTTAAGCCATGAGCAAATTGGCAGAGGGTAAATAAGACTAGAGTCCAATGCATGGCTCAAAGACTGATGCAAAAGAAATGGGTTTTGATTCACGGGACAGTAGCTGTGGAGAAAGTGGGGTCTGTACAATTCGGACGGTCTTCATCTGAACCACAATGGGACCAATGTTCCAGCAAGTTGTGTAACTAGGGGGTGCTGACAGGATTTAAAATTGAATAATGCAGGTGAAAGGGATCACATGGAAAATTCAAGAGAAAGGATAAGCTATTACAGCTGGTTAGAGATACGGCTAATAATAATCAGAATCTGGCAGGAAAGAACACAGCATACAAAAAGGGCTCAAGCAGTTAAGAACAGAGTTTGCAAGAATACCAGAAGTGAGAATTAAAGACTGTGCACTGCTCGGTACCTGAATATATGCAGTGTTCATAACAACACAAGTCAATTGATAACACAAAACAGAAATAAATGCTTATGACCTGATAAGCATTTCGAAGGTGTGGCTGTGGATGGCTAAAGCTGGGTGTTAAACAGTCATGGGTCCCTGGCATTACAGAAGCACAGGAAGCTAGAAAAAGTGATTGATATTTCTGTTAAATAAAAGATAACATTAGTACAGGAGTGAGAGGTCACCTTCATTCAAAAGATCAAGGTACAACAGATTTTGCAGAGATAAGCCGCAAAGTTAAGTGGTCCAGGGACTAGTGTCGTTAATGACATGGTCTAAAAATGGAGATGAGAAGTCAAGTATACATTTTTGTGCAAAGTGGAAAAGTCACCACAATGTGAAGAGCTGAAAATGACAGCAATTATGATCTGTAGTAAAATCTAAACATCTAAAGCCATTTCAAATATTAGACTTTCAGTAGACTTATTGACTACAGTTCCACCTCCAACACCATAATTCCAAACAAACTCATCTCCAAACTGAGACCTAGGTCTCAGCTCCCCTGCTCTTTAACAAGATTGTGGTCTGAGAAGTCAATCAGTAAGAATAGGCAACAGCACCACCTCCACCACAATCCTCAATACTGATGGCCCACAAGGCTACATACTCAGCACCTGACTATACTCCTTATACACTCATGGCAGTGTGACCAAATTCTGTCCCAACTCCATTTACAAGTTTGCTGACAGCACCACTGTTGTAGGTTGGACCTCAAATGATGAGACAGTGTGCAGGAAAGATATTGAGTGCTTAGCTGCATGGTGTAAAGGCAACAATCTCTCCACCAACGTCAGCAAAATGAAGGAGCTGCTCATTGACTTGTGGAAGCAGAGTGGAGGGCACACCCCCGCCTGCATCAATGGTGCTGAGGTGAAGATCGTTGAAAGCGTCAAGTTCCTGGGCCATCAACCACCTGTCCTGGTCCACCCACGTCGACACAACAGTCAACAAAGCACCACAACATCTCTACTTCCTCAGGAGGCTAAGGAAATTCAGCATGTCCAGAAGGAGTATAGGATACTTTCTGTGGGACATCTATCTGGATGCATCACAGTGTGGTATGGCAACTGCTCTTCCCAAGACCACAAGAAACTACAGAGTTGTGAACGCAGCCCAGTCCATCACGCAAACCAGCCTTCCGTCCACTGACTCCATCTATACCAAAGACCCCTCCCATCCCAGTTATCCTTCCGTTGGGCAGAAGATATAAATGTTTGAATACAAATGGACTCAAAACCAGCTTCTTCCCCACTGGTATCAGATTTCTGAACGGACCACACAAACGATCATTTGGATTTCTTTCTCTGTACCTTTTCTGCAGCTGTAATACTGTATTCTGCACTGTGTTCTGCGATTCGGACGTACTTCGTATGGTACAATCTGCCTGTGCAGCACACAAACCAACAATTTTCACTGTATCTTGGTACACATGACAACAATAAATCAACTTCCAGCAACACGTGGGTAGAGGTTTTAGAACATGGTGGTAACTCCCAAGTCTTTCTCAGTCCCTTGATAGCAGCACCAAAGAAATAACTTGAGAAGTCCCAACGCAAGAAGTGAATTAAAATTAGCATGATCTTGGCATGTATAGAACTAACATGGACTTCAATAAAAAGGTGACCAGCAGAATCAGAAATACACACAGTAATTATCACAAAGCCTCTATACTAAATTTTTCAATTTATCCACCCACCCAGTCAGAAGGGAAAACATATGGTGTGCCAACACAGCTAACAAGAGAAAAGCATAGTAAAATTTAAATTGGTGTTATACTTTCATTGTTAATGCCAAGTACAGCATATGATACTACCACTCATTGTTTTATGTAAATTGATAGCCTTCACAGAACAAGGAGAAAATAGCAATATTAAAAAGAGAAAGAAAATCATGCAATGAAGCAAAGCTGATTAAGAAAAGTTGACGTGGCAAACCACTGTAGTCTCTTCCGACTATAGTTATTATCTTATTTCGCTGGTCGCAAACAAATATGCCTCCTTCATTAGCTGCCATATGTACTATGCTGCAGAAAAACTGTAAATTATTAGTTTGTCTAATGTGTATTAGATAGAGAATAATTTGATAGCAGAACAAGAGAAAGTGTGAGTAATAAGAGAATAAGCTCCCTCCATTGCACACCAGTTGATGCTGGTTATTCCAATTTATTATTCAATGGAAGCAAAAATTGAATAGTGTGCGTTCATGGCAGCTGATCCACTGACCCAGCTTCTAACATACCATTTATGCAAACTCACCAATGCAGAATATCAAAGGAAATGCTACCCCTCGCAGGAAAAAGTTAAACCACTGTCTCACTGGCCTGTTATAGTTGCTCAGGCTGAATACAAAAACTTTTGACACTATCTCTCTTTACTACCCAGATAACACACCTCCCCTCAAAGCTTTGCCATTATCAAGTAATCAATATCAACCTAAGAAAAGTAATGGTCATTCATATCATTTGATCTTTGTAAGACCTTTCTCTTCCTGCAAAAGACAAGGATTGTGGGACATCATCTGATAAATGAGCCATTTATGCTGCCACTGTGAAATACAAAATACAAACACATGCACTCCTTGAAAATTATTACATCAGTGATGGTTTGCTTTTGCAGCGGGAGGAGGAATTTGGATCTTCACAGTCTTTAATATGGGGAATGTCGCAGGGCATTCATCAAAGAGCTGCAATGTCTACACGGGTACATGAATAGAAGTCCTGAACCTTGGGCATTCTACATACTTAAGAAAAGCCCACTAGCTGTTTGGTGCAACCCATACAGATTGAATA